GTGAGGGGATCTTTCCTTTGGTCCTCTCTGCTGCCGTCGACGAGTAGAAAGCCACAAGGGTCGACCGAAGATAGTTGCGACCTCCCCCCTTGCATCACCAATCAACCACCGCTGAGACGTCGCCTTCGTCTTCCTCCCGTTCATCTGTGTTCCTCGAGACTTCTTTGAAGTTTGAACGATGGTATCCCCTTTATCTTCTTACCCGATCAAAATAAATGGAACGGGTTTAAAGACCCTAATCTCCTTTAGATGGATCCAGTAGTCGGGTATGGAGCTTCAACCAGAAAAGAAAACGGGTTCCGGGTTTGACCCAGTCAAAGGTCAAACATAAATCAAACCTCCTTTTAAATTATCAAAACTTAACCTCCTTTGACAAATACCTTGCAATTTCAGTCCAAACCCCAATCTTTGATTCCAATTGTTGATAATAACCCCTCCTTTGAAATTATTTTTACCCAATCAGTCCCACTTTGGTTAAAATAATTTACAAACAATCCATATACTGTAAACCTGTTACAAAACGGTCCCGGTAATACTTCAAGGTTCAAGGATTTTGAATTTGCGGTTCACTCGGAATGTTTTTCGTTTCTCAAAGGAATGCAAATGCCGTACCAATCGAACTCACGCTTCAAGGGTGAGTTCATACCCCTACATTTACATGTTTTTCTTAAGTTTTAAGGGGGGAATACAAGTAAAATCATCAAAAACACAATTAAACTTTTTCTAACAGATTACATCAGAAAAGATGGACGTTAATCACGGACTGTTTTGGTCAACTTAAATATTTTAGTTTTCAAAACTGTTCCAGGTGCAAGTAGTTCAAACTCTTAGCTTTAAAATGGCTACTTGCACATCTCCATATGATTTTTCTACAATTTATGGTGATTTTTACAAAACTGCCTGTCATTTCAGAGGCAAACCCGGACCAGTCTGTGATTATGAACATTTTCACCTCTGTTAGAGATCACTAAAAATCATGATAAAATTTACGAACAAACTAGACTCATATTCCAAACTCTCAAAATTTGCGGATTTGGATTTAGGGCTTTGATGATTTTTCTATAAATTTTCTAAGAACAGTAACAGAAACTGTTTTCAAAGGAAAGTTGCTGTTAATTTCATTTCACCTTGTAACATGTTGAGCAAGGTGTATATCTTTATGTGATTATATGTTATTGCAATATATGACATTTTATCTTAATATTTAGACACACATCAGTTTACAAATGGATTTGGTCATATAAAATATAAAGAATAACAAGTGATTATAATCAAAGTACAATCGATACATTCAAACATTAAATAAACTATTTTGAATATAGTTTGCATACATTACCACGTACTACCCTTGGTTGATAAACTATAATAGGTATAGTTTATGATACATTACATAACACATACATTTAAAAAGGGTACATTTATACAAAGGATATTTTCATTAAGCAAGGTACGGTCATACGGTACCAAGTTTTCATAACACGTAATTCCGTTAATGACTTTGTGAGACATTTACTTCAAATTACCATTAAGTCCTGTATTGTAACCAGATTCTCCTTGAGGGAGAGCGTGATACTTGTGTATAGATCTATATTGGGTTTGACAAACTCACACCTAAACTGCATGCAACAGTTAGACCGATAGGTCTGGGGTGACAAATGTCATAACATTTCCGACGCCTGAAGAACGTCGTTTTAGGCAACCTTGGTCATAGTATGGTTATAATAAACTCACATAAAGTATTAACAAACATTGGAATTTACGGGGACTTCATTAAAATTTAACGAGTTTATGTCGATTTAAACTTGCATTATTTTACTATAAATATGATAAATTACTTGTACATTTCGGTCTTTGGGTTTTAAGACTACATTTACACATTAAGGAAAATATTGGATTTTTCTAACACAAATACTACTTTTACAAACGAAAAGCTTATGAACTCACCAACCTTTGTGTTGACACTTTTTCAAACAACTTGTATTCTCAGGAAATCATTAAACAGGTAATCAAGTGCTTTTGAGGATGGGACGCTAAGGCGTCTACTATTTCATATTTTATCAACATATTGTAATTGATTCGTAAACATGTAATTCATACAATGATGTAATTTTTTTTTAATTATATATATGTTGGTTGTGTTTGCTTGAATTACTATTACAATTGCTGTTATGATACTATACATGAAGTCCTCCACCCCCGGACGTTTCCGCCATCCTTGGTTTGGGGGTGTGACACTTAGTCATCTAGTACCCCTACATGTGACACGATTGATAAAATGTGAAACAAGTGTTGATGATTTTAGTGGCACTGGTTTATTTTATGTAATGAGATTTATACATGTTTCAAAAGGGATTATATATTAGTTTTAATACAAGGATGCATGTGCGGAGTGCACACTTGTATTAGTCTATATTAATCCCGGTAAAACAAAGAGAGTGGGGGTCAAGGGGGTTGTTCCCTCTTGTGGGATTCCAAGAGGCATCGGCCCTTCGTGGGTGCGATCAACGGGATAGGAAAAAATGTGAAATTACTAGAAGGACCATAATAGAAATTATTTAATTTTTAGGGGTTCTAATGTAATCATGTAGGGTTTTTAATCCTAAATGACCTTATCCAAATGCAGTTAATTTCAAATTCTTAGATATATCAGAACTCTCGGGCCCTCGTTTTTGAAACATACGAAATTGACACACCATATTCTCTCTAGTTCTTGATTAATATTTTGTGCCTAGAACATCGATTGTTCCTTTGAGGATTATCGTAAGTCAAATTTCTCATAACCCAGACATATGGGAGAAATATCGATTCAGAAAGTGAACCAACACGATTCTTGAAGAATCTACTGATTATCATATTATGTTTCTACCCTAATTTCTAATAAGAAGTACCAACTAACCTAGTTATTTGAATCACGATGTACTAGTGAAACAAGTAATTTATGTACATAGAGACCATAATGTAAAGGATGAGGATACCTTTTTGATTTGAAACCACATCAACTGCATATGCTTTGCTGAATGTTTGCAGTTAAGATTTTTGGCTGAGAAGAGTATCGAATTCTTGTTGTGAAATAGTGTTTCAAAGAAACCAAAAATATACATGGGGACCAATTTTTTAGTATTTCACATTTCATAATAACCACTTTGTAAAATACATAGTTAAAAACATGATAATTTCATTAAATGGATTTTATCATTATATCATTTACCTATACGCGGGACCTTCTTTTGGATCATAAAGTTATAAATATCATTAAGGAGCTTCCGTTGGTTACCTGCTTCACTGCCTACCTCATTCTTGCCTTAAGTTTATATAGGAGACTTCAAATATGGGTTGGCTTATGTAGCCCATTCTTTAACTTATATGTCGTAGCTATTTGCCTCCTTCACACACCACCTCAATTAACAAGTAATTCACTCCTATTTGCCAACACCGTTTTCCTTTGTCGCCATGTCTGCCTGCCTCGTTCTTGCCTTTAGTTTATGTAGGAGACTTCAAAGATGGGCTGGCTTATGTAGCCCAAAAGGATGTTCTTAACCATAAAGTTTCCAACTTTATGGTTTAGCATGGCTATTAAGACCTTAGCTCCAAAAACCCTAGCTTATTTACCCATTAAGACAATCTAGCTCATGCATGGAGAGAAACTAATGACATAAAACACATTTTATGAATTAACACACCCTAAAACCTCTGAAAGGACAACTCAAACGTCTTGGAGTACCTCCTACTCACAAGGATCAAGTTTGGGACAAAAAAGTGACAACTTTGAGCTAAAACTAGATCCATAAGAAACATACACCAAGGTTGAAGCTTTTTACCTCCACAAGATGCACGATGAAGAGAAAATGTTGAATCCAAGGTCTTGAGAGCAAAGCCACTTCCTTTATGATCTTCCTTCACAACCAAAAAAGCCCACAATTCACTCCAAAAAGCTCAAAATGCTCAAAATTGATTAGGGTTTGCAAGGATGGTAGATTTTGGGATGGAGGTTGATAAGAGGAAGTGTTTTGGGACTATAATGGTGCTTATATAGTACACAAACCCTAAATATTAGGGTTGAGTCTAAGTTGCGTATGCCCTGCGTACCAATATGTACGCCCAACGTATCAAGGTGTACGCGCAGTGTACACATGCTGTACCCTTTATTACGAAATTGCTATTAAGGACCAATCTTGCAAACATATCTTAACTCAAGGGTAAAAAATGAATACCTAGAAATTAGATGTTACCGTTTTTTCTCCTTAACTAACCGTTTTTATCATAATTAACATCAACGTCATATTAAAAAACAAAAATGTAGGCAACATTAGATTTGTAATAGTCAATTTCTCTTAAAAAGTCATATTTTGGACTTTTTCGAACGGTAACTATTAATATAAGGGTTTTTCTAAACCTAAAAATATTATAAGGGTTTTTCTAAATATACATGTATCATTAGTTGTGTTTTTCTGCATATAACTTATATTGTAAGTATGGATGTAAACGAGCCGAGTCGAACTTCACATTAATCGAGCCAAGCTCGTTTAAAATTATTGAAGCTCGAGCTCATTAAGATTCTGGAGGCTCGAGCTCATGAAACATATATGAAGCTCGAGATCGGCTCGTTAAGGCTCATTAAGGTTCGTTTGTCCGTAAAACTCGTTAAAGATCGGGATCGACTCGTTATTTTTTTATATTTTATTAATATATAAGTAATAAATAATAATATATAAAATAAAAGTATATTATACAAATGCCCGTTTAAGCTCGCGAGCTTAAACGAACCTGTAAGTTTAGGCTCAAGATCAGACCCGTTTATTAAATGAGCTTTATTCTAAGCGTGAGTTTAGGCTCGAGCTCATTAAGGCAATGTTCAGTTTGTTTCAAGCTTTTAACGATTCGAATCGGATAGTTCGCGAGTAGCTCGACTATTTTACGTCGTCCTTAATTTTAAGGAAAATATATAAGCCTTTACATAATATAAAATACTATGTGAAAAAAGAATACAAAAAGCTTAGCTAATGGGAATCAAGAAGATATTTATGGTGACCAATCCGACGCCTCTCTCACACGCACAATCACCTCAAAACACACACTGCTCTTCATTCAAAACGGGAGCACAGAAACTGTTGCCGACACACACATTAAATCCCACCAAATCCGTTAGGTAATGGATCCAAAAAAACCATCCATTCTCCCTCTTCCAACTCGAATACAAACAGGTTTCTGTATAATTTATGTATTTTTCTGACAGAATTCCAATTAACACGAGACCTGTGTTTGTTAGTTCTTCCTCTTTCGCCTCTCAGATTCATCTTCATTCTTCAGTAAGCTATCACAACTTATTTACCGAGAATCTTCGGAAAGTGTTGTGAAGAATCAGTTGTGATTAGACTAGATTAGCAAAGGGGATTTGGGGCAGAATTCGGGAGTGAAGATGGGTGTCGTTAGCACAATTATGGGGGCATTTGGTTTTGGAATTGGAGTTCCAACTGGGCTTGTGATTGGGTACTACTTGTTCATTTACTACCAACCAACTCATGTTGAGGTTCGTATAATCGTATTATCTTCATCTTCTTCGATCTTTCTTTCTGTATTTTGTATGATTCTTTTCATGGTAATTGTCGATTCTCCACAAAGTCAACTAATACGTTTCAGTTTGGGTTTTATGTGTATTTGGTTTTGCAGTTATAGGATTTTCGATCTAATTTCTAAATTAATTCTCAAATAAGGATTGAAATGTCCTTTTTATCCATTCTTTTCTCAATTTCTACCAAAAGGTCGAGTCAATTTTAGGATCAACAGATAGGAATATCTTTTAAACCTATAAGTTTTGTGCCATTCACATAAATTAGGAAAAATCATAAATTGATAAAAAGAAAAAAAGATAATTATAAAAGTGACCACATCACTATAGCAGATAAATTGTATTTTTTGTATAGTATATATATAATATATGTCGCTTGTACGGACATTTAACTTTTGACTAAAGTATCAGTAAAAAACACTTTCTTGAAATTGTTTTGGACTCTTCTTGAAATTTCAAAACAGTTAAATAAATGAAATCTGACATAAAAAAATAAAAGTTATTTTTGTCAAATATCATGTTATTATTGAATGTTATTATTGAATTTGAAACATTTTATTTTTAAGATTTTTTGAATTATTTTTTTTTTCTATTTGTCATTTTTTTGTGATTTTTATTTTTTTAAATTTAAAATCTATATTTTACTAAAGATTTATATACGTAAGGTAAATCATTCTGAATAAATGTACCGCAACAGTTTGTTTCCTTCCCATTTCAAATCTTTTAGAATTAGAATTAAAGCTTAAATCACTAATATCAAGCATCCAATTGATTCTATCATTTCAATTTTATATTAAATTTTTAATTATTAATAAACATGTATAATACACAGTAATCATACCTAATAAATCAATAAATAATAATATTTTATTACATAAACTAAGAAAAAGGTCAAATCACAAAAAATATTATTGATAATTAAAAGAAACAAACTAACTTTTTTTAGATTTACATGACCACGATGTTTGAAAAATTATATTTTGTATTAAATTAGTTTTGTTTCGGCACTAGCCATGGTTGTAGAACTCGCTACTCGGTATCTGTTCGGCTGACTACCGAGTAATGAGTACTCCCGAGTACTCAGGAGTACTCGGATTCGGTAATTTATGTATAAATATTTTTGATGAAATTATATATGTCAAAATCATAAGTTAAAATCTTTAAGTTCATTGAAATATATAACAAAATTAGATACATTTGAATACACAAAAACTGAAAAACACACAATGGTCTCACTTCATGAGTAATTACTGAAAATTTAAGGTATGTATGTAGTAATAATCACATGTGTGTGTGTTAAATAAGAAATCATTGAGTATATTATACATATTAATCAGTGAGTTGTCCGAGGTTTACAACACGACTCGCTTCAGTAAAGGGCCGATCGAGGAGTACTCGGATTCTGTAACTCGTCTTGGTAAGGGGCCGAGTAGGGAGTACTCGGCAGAATAATCGGCCAACTCGACGAGTTTTACAACACTGGCACTAACTTTATATTATATCAAAAGTAAAAGAATAAATAAATTTGGGATTACACATTGCAGACTAGGTAAAAAAACATATTTGGAGTCCAAAATGCTTCATTTTTTACTGAAATTTAACAAAAGTTAAAAGATTTAGTGATTTACCAATACCAAATTAGATTCAACATAAAAAGTATGTCATTCAGTTTGAAAAAAAAAATGATAGTAAACTTTTTGGATTTAAGAAGCGCGAGAAGAGATTTTTTTTTTTTTTTTTAAAATTGTTTGCTGAAAATGAAATCAAAGTCTAGATTATATATATCAAGTCAATTACTTATTCATTGTGTGTTTTTGTTACTTGAATATCAAGACTCCAAAAGTACGCCCGTTGGTTGAACGAGATTCAAAGTCCCTTGAACAGATGCTTCCCGAAATACCAATGTGGGTCAAAAATCCTGACCATGACCGGGTATGTATTCTTCTCTTCTTTTACTGAAACTCACTCTTCATTATGATATATGAATCTAATATTGCAATATCCCTTCAAAATCTAACATCCAAGTTATTTATCAGCCAGCTGATAAATAACTTGAATCGTTGAAAGAATAATTATTTATCAGATTATTCTTTCATATCTAACTTCCCAAAGTAACTTGTTTGACTTCCAAAAGTCGGTGTAAATTGTTATGTGGTTATTTACATTCACTCTTTTATCATATGCAGGTTGATTGGCTCAACAAATTTATCGAGTTAATGTGGCCATATCTAGACAAGGTAGTGAATCTGTTTATAATTTTAATCAATAGCATGCATAAATGGTCTACAAATTTATCTATGAATAACAAAATACATATTTATTTATTTTTTCCTGTAGGCGATTTGCAAGACTGTGAAGACTATAGCAGAACCGATCATAAAAGAGCAGATTCCAAAGTACAAAATAGACGCAGTCGAATTTGATACACTTACTTTAGGCAACCTACCACCCACGTTTCAAGGTTGTTAACAGTAGGAAACATTCAAAGTTTTGAATTTTTGTTTTTATTTTACACGTAAAAATTGATTTGTTTATTTTAATATTTTCTGGTCATGTTGTTTGTTTTTACAGGAATGAAAGTTTATTCTACGGATGACAAGGAGTTAATAATGGAACCATCATTTAAATGGGCTGCTAATCCCAACATTCATGTTGCTGTTAAGGCCTTCGGCTTGAGACCCACCGTTCAGGTATCCATGATTTCACTGTATTTGACATGCATTTCATTTTAACTTGTTCACTGTAACTTGACTATTATACAGACTGTAACTTGACTTGACGTAAATACCCTCTTTTATGTTCAAATTATTTGAGCTTTTTTCGTTTCTCAGGTGGTGGACTTGCAAGTATTCGCTTCACCTCGTATCACCTTAAAGCCATTAGTTCCGAGCTTCCCTTGCTTCTGTCAAATTCTCGTTTCTCTAATGGAGAAGGTAACCCTTAACCTAAACCCTAAACCCTAGTAGTTATATCCATTCGTTCATTACTCATTGTTATTAAAGGCGTTAATTTCAGTTAGAACTTAGAATCGTATGTGTACGTATATATGGCCATCACATTTTTCTGCAACACAAAAACAATAATTTCTCATCGTTTCATGATTTATCACCTCAAAACTCAATGGAATCAAAGTATAATTCCCAAATTTAGCGATTCGTGTCTAATTAATTTTCTTCAAATTTTCAGCCTCACGTTGATTTCGGACTAAAACTTCTCGGAGCCGATTTGATGTCCATCCCTGGCTTGTACAGATTCGTTCAGGAACTTATCAAAACCCAGGTCGCAAACATGTATTTGTGGCCTAAAACACTCGTCGTACCAGTACTCGATCCTGCAAAGTAAGTATCAATCGTATTATCTGATGATCGATTCGAATTGTTTTTGTTGATTTGAACGAATTTATGTATGAAATCGGCAGAGCGATGAAGAGGCCAGTTGGAATGCTGAATGTGAAGGTTTTGAGGGCGATGAAACTGAAAAAGAAGGATATTTTGGGTGCTTCGGATCCTTATGTGAAATTGAAGCTCACGGAAGATAAGCTTCCCTCCAAGAAAACCGTTGTCAAACACAAAAACCTGAATCCGGAATGGAATGAGGAGTTCCATTTAGTTGTGAAAGATCCGGAATCACAAGCTCTTGAGATCATCGTATATGACTGGGAACAGGTATTTTGAATGTTATAATTTTGACTATATATATATTATAATTTTGACTTTTGTGGTCAAACAAACGGGATGTTGTAGGTGGGGAAACATGACAAGATGGGGATGAATGTTATACCACTAAAAGAAGTAACACCGGAAGAACCAAAAGTTATGACTCTTGAACTTCTAAAAAACATGGACCCAAACGACACACAAAACGAAAAATCTCGAGGTCAAATCATGATTGAATTGGTGTATAAGCCTTTTACAGACGACCAAATCCCAGCTGAAAGTAAAGATGGAGAAGTGATCGAGAAGGCTCCAGAAGGAACCCCAGAAGGTGGAGGTTTGCTTGTTGTTATAATCCATCAAGCCGAAGATCTTGAAGGCAAACATCATACGAATCCATCTGTTCGTATGCTTTTTAGAGGAGAAGAGAAAAGAACAAAGGTAATTTTCCTTTCTATAACAAGGGTAAATTCGTCATTTTACCATGACTTGGCTTAAAACATTCGTCATTTTTTGTAGCCTGTGAAGAAAAACCGTGATCCGAGATGGGATGAGGAGTTTTCATTTACTTTAGAAGAGCCACCAACAAACGACAGGATGCATTTTGAAGTCGTGAGTACGTCTTCAAGGATGGGTTTAATTCATCCCAAGGTATAAAGAAATAATCAATCTTATAATTTGACCTAGAAAGATGAATTAGAAAGATGAATTTGTGACATAATATGTATATTTTTTTTAGGAAACATTGGGTTATGTGGATATACAACTTGGGGATGTGGTGAGCAACAAGAGAATCAATGGGAAGTACAACTTAATTGATTCGAGGAATGGTAAGCTTCAAGTGGAGTTGCAATGGAGAACATCATCTTAAAGAAGGGTAAAATTGTCTTTTGAGAAGAAAGAATTTGAACATATGGAATTTTTAAGATTATATCATCATCGAGTTAAATGTTTGATGGTATTTGTCGTGTTGTCATTTGACTTTGGGCTTCTGATGTGTGTAAGTTATGTCTAATAAATGAAAAGTTTTATGGGTTATTTATTGTATAAAAATACAGATTATTAGCGACTCGTTTAAGCTTTAATTCTTATGATAATAGTAGTCACTGCTTTGGTGTTTACTTAAGATCTTATTTCTAAAATTTTCGCATCAACATGTTACATGCTAGTAGTAATTATAATTTCGATTCATATATCTTAAATGGAGTCAATTTAGCTTATATTTTTCTGATTGAATGCTTAAATATATCAAGATTTGTGCTAAGTGTATTGAAAAAGCTATATTTTTATTCTAATATTATAGTCCTTCAATTTTAATTGTAACTAAAAGATGAATTATTTGTAAACTTAAAAAGCTATATTTTTCTAGTTTGTTTTAGGTAGCATATCTTAAATTTTATGAAATGATGAAACTTAGAGTTATGATATATATATATATATATATATATATATATATATATATATATATATATATATATATATATATATTTTAATATAACGGAACATATATTGTAAAAAATTTCAAAATAAATTTGTCATGTGGTTTGAAATAATATGTATGCTTAATTGTTTAGTAGCTAACTTTTTTTTAAACTCAGATGATCCTTATGATTTGGTTTGTTAACTTTTTTTTTAGTATCTACCAAACTTTTCAAACTTGAAATGACTATAATGTCCTTATATATCTATTTTTTATATAAATTATAGTTTTTATTTATTATTTATAGGTTTCGAAAAATAAATATGGCTCACCCCTTAATATATGACACATACATATCTCTGTTTATCTAACATCCATTTCCAACAAACTCATCTACCCCACAACTCCATCTCTGACAACATCATCTTCGTCTATGCCACCATTCTTTAACGCATACAAACCCTAGAAGGAGGTGTGTGTATGGTGGTATCAATTTAAGCATCGATGAATTTCCTCCGGGTCAATATATGTTGATGAATTTTCGTTTTCCTTGGGGGGGGGGGGGGACGCATGAGGAGGTGTGTGTTTTTCAGATTTTTGTGCAATTAAAAATCATTTTCAATTTCATCAAGTGCACAACATCGAGAAACATGTGGAGTTTTTTTTTTCTAGGTTTAAACATCGATGTGGATGTAATTTGTAAGAACTATTTTAGATTGTGCAACAATTTGATTTTAGTTTCATCAAAATTCCGGTTTATGTTTTTATTTATTTATTATTTATTATTTATTATTATTATTATTATTTTTTTTTTTTGGGGGGGGGGGGGGGTGTATCAATGAGGTTGTGATTGTCGAAACTATCTAAGATTGTTCATTGATTTTTGGTTTCCTTATTCATCAATTGTGTATGGTTTTCTTTTAATGGATTGTATATTGTTTTATTGTTCATGAATTGTTGGTAAGATAAATATTTAATGGGTTGCAGGTAAGACGAAGAAGAGGTGGGCATGACAAAACGATGATCTTTCCAGAGAATAGAGAGGAGATGGGGGACTGGGAGGAGGAGGGTGAGGGGTGAGTACATATACTTCGGTGAATTTTTTTATGTGTGTAGGTTTTCTAGCAAGTGGAGGTTGTAGACGGTGTAGAAGGGTGAAGATTACAGAGTGTGGCCGTAATGACGACAAAAAAAGATTATATTAGACCCGACATATGAGGGTGGTGAGGAAAAGGCTAAGGTTGGTGGGTGTGGGATGGTGGGGCCAATATTTTTCATAAGCAGTTTCTTATTAATTTAATATTATTAAGATTAAAATAGTTATATAATTTGACCGGATCAAACTAAAACCAAATCAAACCATATGTAATGTTCGGGTTAAAAAATAAAATTAAAGACCAAACACGTTTATCTTAAACTACATGGACCATTCGTGTAATTATTCAGTTTATTACTATGCAATTTCAAGAGTTATTTCAAAAACACTAAAATCTAACCCCTAAAAGTGTTACTTTCTTTGACTCCTTTTTTGCCTTTTGATTCCTTATAAAATGCACACCTTTTTATCGGTCCATACTTTTAGGTGTCTTTCTATGACCCTTTAGTGGAAACGAATTTAAACACATAATTTTTTTTAATAAAAATAACAAAGAAAAAAATATATATAAAAAGTCATATTTCAGGAAAATGATGGTAGAAGATTGCGCGAAAAGAATGTTAGTCATTTTAATTGTTTAACCCTCCAAAAAGGACAAAAAAGCACAAAGTGTTTTTATACCTTGGTCGCAACTAATAAGATTTATGTCACAACAGTGAAATTTTTAATTTGAAAATCTAAATATTTTAAAATTTTCAATTTAATGAACGGATATTTTGATAACATATTAGACACTAAACAAAAGTATATTATAAGCGTTTTACTTTTTTATACATACTTCATTGTATAAAATAAATTTGTTCAAAACTTTTTGCTAGTAATCTTGAATATGCAATTATTATAAGGACAAACTAAAAGAATTTACGCGCTTTGTCGCTAGCGGAAAAGACCAGGATTCAACCAACTGTATACAAAAGCATTGATTTTAAGTGCAAGCATATCGACAACTTACATTTCAATGTTGTGTACATCACACCTATTTTCAATTTTCACATTTTCTCAGTCTGAGCTGACCTGCACAAACATAAGAAATACAAACCTCATTTTCACATATTTGTGTATTATAGCATCCTATTTTCATTTGTTTTTGTTAGATCCTTGTACTCTCCATTTTTTTCTTGGTATGGGATTGTACTTTGAAAAATCTACCTCTAATTACAGGATTGCATTATAGCTGGCAATAAATACCAACTTACTTTTATTTCTTTGTTTATTATATCAACCTACTTTTATTTCCTCATGTTATAACATTCTACTTAAAAAGCTACCTAACCATAACAATGTCATCCAAATGCAAACCAATTTTTACTATTATATATATTTTTCAAAGTGCAGTTTCATAAATGAGTAGATCTTTTGAAGTATAATGTTTTTCTAATAATAAAAAATAAATGCATGATGTTATGATGGGAAGAAATGGAAATAAACGCTATTTCTTACCCGATGTTGATTTGTTGACCTCGTCAGATGCCCGATACCTAAGCTAATTATGTTGCAAAGGTTAATTATGCTGCGAAACTGAAATGGGTAAAATTAGTACACCAAAAAAGAAAAAAAAAATCTATAAGAAATAGCAACTTACTTTAATTTATTTTGTGTGGTATAGCATCCTACTTATAAGTTTTTCAACAACAACATTGTAATTCTAATATTTTTTAATTAAGACATTGTTATTTCAAATAACTAAATATAACATTCTACGTTTAATATTTTTCTTAATAGGATAAAATACTTGCAATTTTTTCACCAAAATATAGTAGATAAAATTGTTGTGTTTGGATGATATTGTTATATTTTGATAGAGTTTTTAAAAGTACAATGTTATAATAGGAAGAATATAAGTATGATGCCATAAGAAACAAATAAAAGAAAGTACATTACTAATATGAACATCCACAACATTAACAATCTGCTATGTCATGATTATGTTGGCCTGTCGCTAATTTATCTACTCAAATACTATAATTGTAGTAATTACCTGTAAAGATGACGACTTGAATCCATCTTACTCCAACAATTGTCCAGTTTCAACAAAATTGGTAGTATCACCTTCTAGGTTAGCTCCACGTCTCCACATTCTAGTACCTAATTCATATCAAATACCTCAAAACTCCTGACACAAATAAATAAAAATATTAAAGTTAACAAATCATAACATTTAATCTTAATCGACCTAAATCAGATTATTCTATCGTTTTCAAGAAATCTCCCAACGCTTGCAGGAAACAAACGATTGTAGTGGAGTTGCCTTCTCCAAGGGAAGTTAGACCGATTCCTTGAACATCATAATACACATCTTGTGACAACCCGGAACTTCTATTCTGTACCATTGGTCAATTCTATCAATGTTAAACTTGTTTCTATTGTCTTTAGCACTGTTTAACGGTTCGTTTAAGTGTTCTAAGCTTGAGTACAACCAAGGTGGAGATTAGGGATGAGTTATCAAGTCGTAAAGTAACAAAATCGGGCCATACACAATCTTAGGAGGAGTGTATGGCCGCACACATGGGTGTACGGCCGTACACCCCCCTCATGGCCGCACACTCACCCTTATATATATAGGTAGACTCCTTTCCTTCATTCCTTTATCCTCTTGGCTGCACACTACTCCTACTCTCTCAAGTTTCTTCAACCGCGACCTCTTCAAGGCTTCAAAACGTGAGTAATCCATCCTTTAGCTTGCTATACTTGAAGGACTTCTTGATTCAAGCCTTGGTTCATCAAATTCCATTATTTTCTTCACCCTTTGAAGGAGTACGGCCGCACACCCCTTTGTACGGCCGTACACCCCCTTAAAGGCTCTCCAAAGTGAAAGATTGGCCCCTAACTTCAAGTGGGACATGATCTTAGCTTTAATACACCTTAAAGTCTACAACTTGGACATAAACATGAAGAGTGTACGGCCGCACACCCCTTTGTACGGCCGCACACACACCTTAGGGCCATACACCCACTTTGATGATCTTTATTGGCCTCAAACTTGCAATACAACTAAGCATGGACCTAGAACACTTCATGGATGCTAGTTAGAACCTTGGAATCACCTCAAAGGCACATCCCATCATGAGTGTACGACCATACACTCATGGGTCGCACACCCATGGCCGTACGCACCCTTAGGGTGGCCGTACACCTCCTTCACTCAATCCCATATGGTTCTAACACTTAGTTTAAGTGTTTCCAAGTCCCTAGAGTGGTTTCTTATCATGTCTAGTAGTGAAATACCCTAATTTGGCTCCTCACTGGTCACTCAGCATCTCATACCGATCTTTCATTCAAACCACTCACTCGAGGTGAGTTCATACCCCTATATTTTCCGAGTTTTTAATGTTTTCAGGGGGGAAATACAAGTAAAAGCACAAGTAATCTTGTGTTCAAATATATTATTTTAATAATATACATCGGATATAGAAATTAGTTTTTACAAAAAGTGTTAAGATACTAACCTTGCAAAAGTAGTTTTCAAAACTAAGGAAATGAACTTATGAATCATGAAATAAATGATACTATTTTATAAGGATTCATGTTAATAACAAAAAAGGATT